ACTTAGAGAGGGATTTTCCAAACGGCATAGAAAGCTATGGCTTTGTCTCCTATTAGTAAAATAAGAATCTAGTCCTCATTGTGCAAAATAAATAGAGGTTTGTTAAATAAGCAGGAAAGGAGCGGCTGAAATGTACACCCGAAGTCCCAGACTGGACAGCGGTAATTCTCCAGATGTTCAAACTGGAGTTTTTCTCCTACTTGCGAGACCACAAAGATAGAATTCGGTAGTTTCTAAATGCCAAATTGGTAGAAAGTTAAAAAAAAAAACTTTCCTCGGTGAGGAAGTTGGTTAGGGGTGGAAAATGTGCAACCGTCTGGATATTGAATTCCAGAAGGATTTTGGAGTGGGAGGCGCGCCTAAATTAAAATAAATTAAATTAAATTATAATTTCCCAGCTGGTGTGATTGGCACAAATAAATTAAATTTTAATTTCCCAGCTGGTGTGATTGGCAGGATGTGGGGAGCTGCAGTTTGCAGGAGTAAGTAGCGTTTCCCCCAAATGAGATCACAACTCTTGAAATGGTTTTAAGTCTTAGAGTAGTTTCCTTCTTTGAGTTAATAAACAGATCACAATGTTGGGTGCAAAAGGATTAATTTTGGATTTTGAGAGATTTGTCTGCATCAGAGCTAAACTTTGCGGGAAGTAAACAACCTGGAACCTGGGACTCCAGGCAGGGGAAGGCGTTCTCCGTAGGACTACTGAATCATTGAATCTAACAGTTGGAAAGGACTGTGAGGTCATCTAGTCTAACCCCCCAAGGATGAGCTATTGTAGATCTGAAGATGCCAGCCAGCTACAAAAGCAGGTGTAAGAAACCAGCATTTTTTTCTTCAAAGTACCTTCAGTCATTGCAACAGACAGGATGTAGTACCCCGCACTCCGAAAGAGGCCCTCCCCCCCGCCCTCGATCCCTTCCCTCATTCCATTGTCTTTACGTGTGATCTTCCCATCTGGTGCTGTCATCGACTCACACAGTGGCGAAGGGATGCCAGGGTGGGGATAGCTGTACCGTGGCATGATTAAAAGAGAGAGAGAGAGAGATAGTAGAGCGAGCTAATAAATACATAAATAAACATAATTCACAACATCTGGATTGGAAAATTATCTCTGCATTCCGAGAACTAGCAGCCATCAGGAGAAGGAAGGAAGGAAGGAAGGAAGGAAGGAAGGAAGGAAGGAAGGAAGGAAGGAGGGAGGGAGGGAGGGAGGGAGGGAGGGAGGGAGGGAGGAAGGAAGGAAGGAAGGAAAGAAGGAGAAGGAGGGAGGAAGGCAGGGGGGAGAAAGGGACGAAGGAAGGAAGGAAGGAAGAGGAGGAGGAGAAAGAGGGAGAGAAGGAGGGAGGGAGGGAGGAAGGAAGGATGGATGGATGGAAGGAAGGAAGAAAGAAAGGAAGGAAGGAGGAGAAGGAGGGAGGGTGGCAGGGGGGAGGGTGGAAGGAAGGAAGGAGGGAGGCAGGGAGGAGAAAGGGACGAAGAAAGGAAGGAAGAGGAGGAGAAGGAGGGAGGGAGGGAGGGAGGAAGGAAGGAAGGAAGAGGGAGAAAGAGAACACAAGTACTCCTCAACTTACGATGACAATTGGGACCAGAATTTTCATTGCTAAACTAGGCAGCTATAAGACAGCCCAATACTACAAGGTTTTTTTTTTGCCACGGTTGCTAAGTGAATCACATGGTCATTAAGCGAATCCAGTTTCCCCCATTGATTTTGCTTGTTGGAAGCTGGCTGACGAGGTCACAAATGGGGATTGCCTGACCCTGGGACACCGCAGCCGTCATAAAGATATGCTGGCTGCCAAGCGCTCGAATTTTGTTTATGTGACCGTGGGAATACTGTATTGGTTTTTCGGTGTGAGGATTGGTCGTTAGTCGCTTTTTCTCAGCGCCGTTTTAACTTTGAATGGTTGCTCAACACACGGTCGTAAGTCGAGGACTACCTGCAGTCCGTAAAGAGAATCAATTCACTTTGAAAACCATTGTCCAGCAGAAAAGGGAGGCTTCGGTCCAACTGTCCGTCATCGGAGCCCCTCTGTCTTCCATCACTTGCACAGCCTCTCCATGATCGTGCCTCAGTGTCCCCGCCGTAAAAAGAAACTCGGTGATCGTCCAAAACGGGACACTAATAGAAACTGGCACTAGGAAGCAACCATCACAGTTGTTCTTCCGTCCGGAATGAGCTGTTGGTGGCTCCGGCGTGTCCCGAACTCAGCTCCCCATCTAGGATATTATCCAAGGATCCATGCTGGATGGGTTTGGCTTTCCGTATGTAGAAACGCCACAAGAGGACAGAAACAACCCCCAGGATTACCACAGAGGCCAAACCCACTGCTATATAGACATAGGTCATCTGGTGAGCCGGGGTTCGAACACGCCGGCACGGTCCGTGTTCTCGAACGCCATCGTCCGTCGGGCTGAACCCAGCTCGGTTGGCCGCCACGACGCAGAGGAGATATTCGGTGCCGGGTATGAGGTCAGACAGCACTGTGACGCGGACGGTGTTGTTTAGCGGCGGCCCCGAAATGAAATCCTCGCCGGGGATCTGGTACTTGAGGTGGTACTTTTGAACCGTGGACGAAGGGGCGCACCAGTGCAAGTTCGCTCGGGTCTCGCTGACGTGAACCGCTCGTAAACGGGGAGCGTCCGGGAGGACGTCCGGACCGGTGACTCCGGGACACAAACATTTGCTTAACCGGCTCAATTCTGCGCAAGGCACTTGGAGATGTTTGCAGCGGTCGTAGGCACAAAAGGGGGTCAGCGACCCCGGGGAGACGGAACGGGGGGACTCGGTGGTCTGAAAGTTGTCGTAATAATCTTCGTAGTAGTCGTCGTAGTCATCGGACGCCGCGGGAGATGCTTTCTCCGGTCCGGAGAGCGGGGTGTGGCTGACCAACGGATGAGGGGTATTTGGGCCTTGGAGGGGTTTGGGTAGCGGGTGGCCCATGCTGGTTGTGGACCCCTGAGGGCACAGCGTCAGGAGGCCACAAGCCATGATGGGTAAGAGCGTCCAAGCTTGCATGGTTCCTGAGGAGAAGATGAGAGGGAGACACTCGTGAGGAAAAAGACACAGGTGGGCCTTAACAACGATTCGTTTAGCGATGTTACAACAGCCTTGATTAAAGTGACTTGCAACCAGTCTTTGTGGTGAGGACCCTAGTAGCATCTGCACGGTGGCATGAACAAAAATCAGACAACTTGGCAACCAGATGCATTTACAACAATTTGCAGCATCCTGGGGTCGTGTGATGGCCATTTGCGGCCTTCCCGGACCAGCAGTGTTCAAAGGGGAGAAGTTAGATTCACTGAACGACCACACAAGAACTGCAGTGATTTGCTTAACAACCAAGCTCAGAGCGCACCAAGGACAATTCCTCCTCCTCCTCTTCCTCCTCCCCCCCCCCTACATCCCCCCCCTCCCTTCTAGTCCTAATGACGTTAACTAGTTGGGTCATGAAACGTCTGGAAGAAAACTATCAAGCTCAGAGAACACCAAGGACTCCACAGTCGTCTTCTTCCTCCTCCTCCTTTCTACAAACCTCCCTCCCTCCTAGCACTGATGATGTTACCTGGTTAGGTCCTGAAACGCCTGCAAAAAAAATAATAATAAAATCAGGCGTGACTCACTTAAACAATCTCCTTGCCTAGCAATGGAGATTCTGCCCCCCGTGTCTCAGTCGTAAGTCAAGGACCACCTGTAACGAAAAATGCTTTTTTTCCCCCCACCGTTCCAGGTTCACCCTTTGGATAACTCTTCCAGGCTGCCCAATTCATCAGGAAAAGCAAGCAAATGAACCAACCGACAAGAGAGGGAGGAGAGAGAGAGAATGGCTCACCTGGCTTGTTCAGCACGATCCAGCTCAGCGAAGGATAATTCGGGATCCAAGCACGATGGAAGGAATCAAAATATTCAGGAATCCGGGATGAAGTTGTCCAGCATTAGGGGTCTCCCAGATAAAAACAGAGAGAGAGAAAAATTGTTTTTTTTTTTTCTTAAACTGGATTCAGCATCACCTCTCCGGCAGCCAAAATCAAGATATATATTTTTTTTGTCCTCGCTTTGCAAGGCACGGCGGAGTGGAATTCTCTCTGTTGGGACTCGCTCACCAAAGAAAACTTTATATCTTACTCATCCGATGACTTAATCTGCCCCTCCTCGCCTCCCCCCTTTTTTTTTTTTACAACCGGGTCCAGCCAGTGGGAAGCAGGGAAAGGAGAGCCAAGGGGGTGGGTTTTTCTGGTTTTCATTTAAGGAGAAGGGGAAAAAAAAAATTTTTTTTTTGGCCTTGCCTCCAGCCCCCATTGCAGGTGTTCGTGCAAAAAAAAAAAAAGAGAGAGAGAGAGCAAAGCATGCCTTATAAGGATTGTTTGCACACTCCTCGCGTCCGTGAATCCGTTCAGCGAAAATAAAATAAAATAAAACCTCTGCCTCCAGCAGTTGGGAATGCTCCAACACAGGAAGTTTTTAAGAAGAGATTGGCTCACCTTTTGGCTGGAATGGCATAGGGTTTCCTACCTGAGCAGGGATTGGACTAGAAGACTTCCAAGGCCTCTTCCAGCTCTGTTATCCTGTTATTCTGCCTTCTTTCTTTCCTTCCTTCCTTCCTTCCTTCCTTCCTTCCTTCCTTCCTTCCTTCCTTCCTTCTTTTCCTCCTTCCTTTTGGTTGGGCTAGAAGATCTTCAGGCTCTGTTTTCCTTCCTTCCTTCCTTCCTTCCTTCCTTCTTCCTTTCTTCGTTCCTTCCTTTCCTTCTTTCTTCCTTTCCTTCCTTCCTTCCTTCTTTCCCTCCTTCCTTCCGGTTGCACAAGAAGACCTTCAGGCTCTGTTATCCTTCCTTCCTTCCTTCCTTCTTTCCTTCCTTCTTCCCTTCCTTCCTTCCTTCCTTCCTTCTGGTCGGACTAGAAGATCTCCAGGCTCTGTTATCCTTCCTTCCTTCCTTCCTTCCTTCCTTCCTTCCTTCCTTCCTTCCTTCCTTCTTTCCTTCCTTCCTTCCTTCCTTCCTTCCTTCCTTCCTTCCTTCCTTTCCTTCCAGTTAGACTAGAAGACCTCCAGGCTCCCCTCCCCTCCCTTCCCCAGCCTGCTTTAAGATGGGTGGACTTCAACTCCCAGAATTCCCCAGCCATCTTGCTTTAAGATGGGTGGACTTCAACTCCCAGAATTCCCCAGCCAGCCTCGTTTAAGATAGATGGATTGCCCCTGGACAGGACATAACTCATTTAAGAACTGTTTTGTTAAGCAACCGAAATTCAAGCCTCAATTCTGGCCATAAGTTCAATGTATTTCTTGGATAAGTTCAATGTATTTTTTACAAGAAAGTGGCATGTTAAACAGTCAATCCATTTCTTTTCCTACTGAAAAAGTACTTTAAGTTTTATTTGATTATTCTTGCTTTGACCTGTTCCTGAAAGCTGGAAGTAAGGAAACGTATCCCTGCTTCTTCCTTAGGTAAATCCTCAAAACTGAGTATTTGCAATGAAAAAAAACAACAAAAACAGCGTCTTCTTCAATGTTTGCCGTCTTCCAAATTCTCATTTAATCCATTTTGTTCCCCTGGCCTGTAGCAACCTGGTTGCTAAAATAAACAGATCTAAATTTTTCAGACGAGCCTCTTAAAAATATTTTCTTGCATTTATTAAATGCTTCCTTCATCCACTCTATAAAAAAAAATAAAAAATTCCATGAAAACTGCAGGTGCAAAAGGCTGACACAAAAGACAAATTCATCCAGGGAGCCAGAGTTTTCAAAACAAGCTCCCAAAATACTTTTTTTGGTGTGTTTGTTTTCTTTCAAAATACCAAAAATATCTCCAGAGTTGTCATCTGGCAGCCGAGCCCTGTCTTGTTTTCTGGCAGCGGTGTCTCGAGTTAGCAAAAAAATATCTTGGATTTAATTCACGCTCGTCCAAAGGAATTTTTTTTCCACCACCCCTTTTTCCTGGAAATATTTTTTGCTCGGGAACATCTTGTGCTGAGTCAGAATATCGTGTTAGTGACTCAGCATCAATTGGCTTTTAAGGAAAATCTCATTTCCTTTCGCCTGAAAATGATGATGATTGAATTATTATTTGGGCCTCTTGGACGATCCTTAAAATCTTTGAACATGAATTATGACGTATATCTGTGCTATAATGTTTACTACTATGGCTCAAAGTCTCAAGGATTATGTATTATAAATGTTCCTTAAACATTTATTTTATTAAACCAAGCAGAAATCGGCTGGGTTTTCATTACAAGAATATACAGATAATCCTTGATTTACGACCACAAGTGAGCCGCAAATGTTTGTTGCTAAGCGAAACATTTTACGATCTTCCTTGCCACAGTTGTTCAGTGAATCATGATTAAGGTAGAAACACCGCTGTTAAGGTAGAAACACCGTTGTTAAGTGAAGATGGCTTCCTTGTTGACTTGGCTCATCAGAAGGTCACAAAAGGATGATCATCCGGGACATGTGCAACCCGTCGTAAATATGAGTCAGTGGCCAAGCATCTTGAATTTTGATCCCACGATGACAGGGATGCCGTAATGGTCATTAAGTGTGAAAAACAGTCCCTTTTTTCAGCGCCGTCGTAACTCTGAATGGTCACTAAATGAGCAGTTGTACGTTGAAGACCACCTCGGTTAGAGAAAGGCAGTCCTTGACTTATGACCATAATTGGGATCCGAATATCTCATTTCTAAGCAAGGCAAGGCAGTTTTTAAGCTAAGTCTGGCTTTACAACCTTCCCCCCCCCCCGTGGCCGTTAAGCAAATCACTGCCGTTCCTAAGTGAACCAGGCGGTCGTTAAGCGAATCCGGCCTTTGCTTGTTGGACACCGGCCGGGAAGGTCGAAAATCACAATCACGGGACACACACACACACCCTCCAAGACCCAGCAACCGTTGTAAATGCCGTTTGCCAAATTTTGATCCCGGGATCGTGGTAATACTGTGACGGTCATAAGTCTGAGGACCGGTTGCCAGTCAGTTTTTTTTTTTTTCCCCCGTTCTGTTGTAAGGTTGAACAGTTTCGTTGTAAGTCGAGGATAAACCTGTAGAGATTTATCGTGCAGAAATATTTTAAAAAATGACCAGCTGCGAACGTCTGGCGGAGCCTTACGGAATCGTGACACAACGGCGGTTTAAAATTGACTAACGCATTTCAATCGGTGTGGCTGGCAAAGAGGTGTGATTACACACGCCCCAGATGGGTGGGGATCCCTGGGGGTCAGAGCCAGCCCAAAAGTTGGCTAATATAGAGTTTATTTGCGGTTTGTGGAATGCAGACGGTTCTCCTTCCCAGAAATAAAGAGGGTGGAAACCGGACAAAGACGCGACACTCCCCACTCCAAGTGAAATTGGAAAAAAAATAAATAAAAATAGCTGGCTGGACAGGATCTCGTGTCCTCACAACTATTCATGAGGAAAAAAAGAGAAAATTTAGATCAAGCACAAAATTCCAGGACTGGAATTAATAAAATTTGCCATTAGAGTTATGCAGAATTTTTTTTTAAAAAAATAGTTATTTTATTCTGGTTGAATCCTGACTCAAATTTCCTCCTGCTGCTCAATTCAGATGTCAAAACGAACATTTCCTTGATTTAATTTATTATTATTATTATTATTTAATATTTATTTAAATATTTAATTATTATTATTATTATTTAAAAATCCCTTTCTCCAGTCAGGATTCTGGTTGAATCCTGACTGGAATTTCCCCAAACCGCATCCTGGGGCTCAATTCAGATGTCAAAACGAACGTTTCCTTGATTTAATTTATTATTATTATTATTTAATATTTATTTAAATATTTAATTATTATTATTATTTAAAAATCCTTTTCTCCAGTCAGGATTCTGGTTGAATCCTGACTGGAATTTCCCCAAACCGCATCCTGGGGCTCAATTCAGATTTCAAAATGAACGTTTCCTTGATTTAATTTTTTTTTTTTTTTATTATTATTATTATTATTATTATTATTATTATTATTATTTAATATCATTATCATTATTTAAAAATCCCTTTCTCCCAAGCCGACCTCTCGGCATCGAGGACTAGAAACTTGTCTTTCCATCCAAACGTTTTAAAACGTCTGGCTTTAAAGGAGGGCCCAGCAGGACAGCTGAGGTGTTTTTTTTCCCCCCTCTGCTGGAAAAGCAGAAGCGGTGTGGGGCAGTTTCTGTTTGCTTTCTGCAAACACAACGTTTTGTGGGCTTTTTGTTTGCAAAATTAGTCAGCAAGCAATCGCATTCCAGAGATGAGGGGGGCGGAAAACGTGTGGCGGTTATCAGAATTTACTTGGCTGAAAATACCTGCTTGCATTTGCTCCCTGAAAAAATAAAATATATTGTTGTTTTGTTTCCTTCGGGGCTCCAAGGTTGTGTAAAATAAACTCCCGTTTAAAAAAAAGGAGGGGAAAATTGCCAGAGTTGCAAACACTCCTTGCAGCTTGCCGGGGGTTAAATTCACACAATACAAAGCCACAATTTAGGGCAGTGTATACCCCCAAACCCAAATCCTGGATAATTGCACATTTTGGTCATGAGGTCTTAGCAAGAAAACAAAACGAAGTGTGACTTGAAGGCAGTTTGGCCTAGTGGTTAAGCATCGAGCTAAGAACCGGGAGATGGTGAGTTCTAGTCCTGTCTTAAGACATGAAAGCCAGATGGATGATGTTGGGCCAATCACCAGGAGACAGGGAGTTCTAGTTTTAACTTAGGTATAAAAATCGGCTGAGCAACTTTGGGCCAATCATCAGGAGACGGCGAGTTCTAATCCTGTTTAGGCATGAAAGATGGCTGGGTGACTTTGGACCAAATCACTAGGAGAGGTGAGTTCTAGTTCGGCTTTAGGCATGAAAGCCCACTGGGTGACTTTGGACCAATCACTAGGAGAGGCGAGTTCTAGTTCGGCCTTAGGCATGAAAGCCCACTGGGTGACTTTGGGCCAATCACCAGGAGACAGGGAGTTCTAGTTTTGACCTAGAAACAAAACCAGCTGAGCGGCCAATCACTAGGAGTCGGTGAGTTCTAGTCCTGCCTTAGGCATGAGCGCCGGCTGGGTGTTTTTAGGCCAGTCCTCTCTCAGCCCAACCTACCTCACAGGGTTGTTGTGTGAAGAAAATAGGAGGAAGATTAAATATGGCTGCACATACAGTCCAGTTGTCGAACATTGGAAGTTTAGTCCTGTGACTGGAGTGGGGGGGGGAAGCATCAGAACTTCAAATCTGGGTCACGAGTAGCTTCCAGGTAGGTCCGACATAACCCAAGGACTACTGTCATAAGTGGAGGACTCCTGAACACCTCAAACACAAGCGCTCTCTCAATTCCCATTCTTCGGAGAAAGGGAGGTTTTCGATCGCGAGACAACGGCGGTGAGCGACTCGCCGTTCAACTTTTATTTAACTTACAGTGTTTCGTGTGTGAGGAGAAGGGATTGGAATGTAAACATAAGCAAGGAGTAAAATACAAGCCCTCAGGAGAGCAAGGCCTGTGGGTGGGCTACCGGGAGTGTAACGTGGAGCTTCCTGGCAGGACTCGAACCCATGCCTGATCAGGAACTGGAACAGCTACTTCTCTGGCGGACTTCCGAGCCGACCGTCAGTGTCCGGGACAAGGGAGGCAGCAGATCTGAGCTGTTCCCCTCTGAGGAAGGGGCAGGAAGGTTGACCTCGGTAAGCAGGGGTGTCTCGTCCGGAGCATCGTATTCGGCCTCTGTTAAAAGAGGAACCCCCCCCCAAAAAATTAGGATCTGTCTGAAGGTGGACGGGGCGACAGGACACATGATTGGCGTTGATGCGGAGACCCCAAATTGTGTAAGTAACGGGGTTTCCTGGCACGCCGTATGCAGAGGTGGTCTTCAGCCGGTTCGGTTCGGTCCGGTTTGGACGCAATCCCATCCTATATCACTTGTTTTTGATGTTGCATGCATGTATGGATGGCACACGCAAGCGAGCGAATTCCTGTGTTTTGTGATGCCGCACGCATGCGCGGATGGCACTCGGTCACATTTCCGGTGTTGGGCGAACCGGTGGTAACGGTATGCGAAGGCCCACCTCTGGCAGTATGGTTATAAAGCTGGATTTTGGGGACCAAAAAATCTCAGAGGATTGGTACTTTTGGAGTGGGGAAGACTTGAAAGATACAGACAATCCTCGAATTACGAACATTCACTTAATGACCAAAGTTATTACAACGGCGCTGAAAAAAAGGGATTTGCGACCAGGCCTCATACTTATGACCATCCCACGGACGCCTCGTCATAATTTGGATGTTTTGTCAACCGGCATGTATCTACGACGACGACTGTATGATCCCGGGATCAGGGGAATCGTCATATAGGAGCTTCCCAACTGGCTTCCGACAAGCGGAGCCAACGGGATGGAAGGAGGATTTGTTTAGCAACCACACAATTCGCTTAACGACTGCAGCGATCTGCTTAAATCGCCGTGCCGAAAAAGCTTGTAAAATCAGGCCAGGAGTCGCTTAAAACCGGTCACCAGAGCGAAGGCCGGTCGTAACTCACACTTTTTTTCACATTGTGACTGTGAAAGGTCGCTTAAAGGAATTGGTTGCAATTCGAGGACTACCTGTAGAAAAAGGAAGCACAAGAATGCACTGCAAAATAAAATCCGGGTCACCTTCATTTGAGCTGGCGGTCGCACTGGATTCCGTTCCAAAATCGGATTTTTCAAGACTGCTTTTCTTCACCTCCGTCGTAGACTCTGCAGAAGATCGAGGGGATTAAAATCGAGAAAACGAAATCGATTCTAAGTGTACTATCCCGTACAGGTAAGTCCTTGACTTACAACAATTCATTTAGCGACCAAAGTTACGACGGCACTAAAAAAAGTGATTCAGGACCGTTTTTCACACTTATGACGGTTGCAGCAACCCCTATGGTCACATGATTGATATTCGGATGCTTGGCAACCGTGTCAGATTTATGACGGTCGCAGTGGGGGGGGGGGGTGTCACATGATCCCGTTTTGCAACCTTCTGAGAAGTCAAGTCAATCGGGAAGCCATATTCACTTAACAACCGTCTAACTAACTTAGCAACTGCAGTGATTCACTTAACAATGGTGGCAAGAATGATCGTAAAATGTCGCTTAACACATTTCTCACTTAACAACATAAATTTGGGGCTCAATTGTGGTCGTAAGGCGAGGACTATCCGTACATTAAAACAAAACATTAATGCGAGAAAAAGCACTTGCTCTACAGCAATTGAGCCCAATATGTCTCTTGCTAAGGGAGACAATTTTTATGGTGAATTTTGCTCCATTTTAAAACCTTTATTGCCACAGTTGTTAAGTGAATCACTGCAGTTGTTAAATTACTAACATGGCTGTTAAGTGAATCTGGCTGGCCCCATTGACTTTGCTAGTCAGAAGGTCGCAAAAGGGGGATCACGTGACTTGAGGACACTGCGACCGTCGTAAATATGAACCTATTGCCAAGCATCTGGATTTTGATCATGTGACCATGGGGATGACTCTACAATGGTTGTAATTGTGCAAAACGGTCCTAAATCACTTTTTTTCAATGCCGTCGTAACTTTGAACGGTCACTAAGTGAATGGCTGCAAGTCGAGGACTATCTGTAAAAAAAAAGGCAGAAAGATCAAAGAGCCAGGAAACCCAACTGTAAGATTGCTTGGATGTTCGGATTGATCTTCGTCTCCTTTTAATGACCCCATAATCCCTTGCAAGGTAGAATCTGGGCAACTGAATGGAGTTGAGTGTTTTACTGGCCGGATGCCCTTCCCTGTCACCAATACGGAGTTTTGTTCAGCAGATCTATTCTCATCGTGCCCAGAGAGAGAAATATCTGCCTCTACCTAGGATCGAACTCACAGCCTCCTGATTGTGAGGCCAGAGCTCCACCTCCACCTCTAGGCCACCATACCACTCATGTTGGGACTGATCCCGGCAAGCAATTTGATCATTACTCGAGATAAATTTTGAGTCTCGCCCGATAAAAGAAAAGAGAATTCAAAATCAACACACCAGCTTTGGACAATTTTTCTCCTTCGGCAACTCCGACATCTTCTGGCTGCAGCAGAGAAGTGTCTTCTTCTACGTCGCCTCCTGGGGGGGGGGGGAAGGGGGGGGGAGAAAGCTGATTACAGGTAGTCCTCGACTTATGACCATTCATTTAGTGACTGTTCAATGTTACAAACGGCACTGTCAAAAAAAAAAAAATTATGAGCGGTCGTTTTGCTTATGATCTTAGGGCGTCTCTGACGTCACACGATGGTAATTCGGTCACCTGGCAATTGTGTCTTTTACGACAATCACAGTGTCCCGAACACACACAGAGATTTTGCATCTTCTTTCCTTCGTGATTGAACTGAGAGCTGTGAGTCCGATCACAACCGACCTCACCTTCTTTAGGAAACACAACTTGTCGACGTGAATCATCCAAGTTTTGCACTGGTCCGGATTTGTCCCGGCCCGGGATCTGTTCAGAAACGAAAAAAAAACAGAAAGAAACTGATTATTCATTGGGACTCGGTCCAGCAATGGT